GTGGGCACCAAATAATTTTGAGCCTTAAATCCTTTTTTCTAAAACCGTGAACCATGCCATGTTACAACCCATAAAAGTCCTAATTGAAGCATGGGTCAATTCGAAAGCGTGCTACAAAGAGATAGCATTTAACTGACTCCTAAGAGGTATGTTTGAATATCTGTGTTGGAATCATATGCTTGCATTATCTTTCATAAAAAAGGAATTTGCAAATGTTTCTCTCTAGCTAGTGACTCGTTCACAACAGAGTTGTGACGTCATTTCATTCAAAGTTTTTTCAAACTTCAAGACTTACATATGTGTTGCATTAGAATTATCATTCTCATAATAAACATTCTTCTGCATATAAAACAACTGATTGACATCAAGTAAGTTTGCACAATGAACAATTGGTGAAGAGCTCAATCTTGTCAGAGAAGAGAGGCCTGAATACCCTGTTGAAGCAAGAGTCAGCTGCCATAAGAGAAATGACTTATCCAGTAGCATGTTAACCAGTGATTTTGTCCAGAGAAAACATCTTGGTGCTTTACAGCTTGAGTACCCTTCAGGGATAAAGTTAGCAGATTCCATCAATCTGGGGCATTCCCTTAAAACTGCTAATCTGGGGCCGTCAAGTCGAGAGTCAATCTCTCCAAGATCAGCCAAATCTGGGGCATCCCCTCAAAGTCGTCAATTAGAAAGCTATCACGTCGATCAATCTATTCAAGCTCAACCAATCAGAAGCTATCACGTCGATAAATCTCTTCAAGTTACCAACAATCAGGGGCTATCACATCGATAAATCTATTCAGAATTCATTCAACCTGGGGCAGTTACGTCGAGATTCGACAAATCTCTCCAAGAAAGCTGTAATCAAGAGCGGTTTATCTCGTGACTCAAGACATTGGGGAAGGCCACTTCATATTGTATTGTGGCACGAATATTCTGGTCTTCTATTTAACATAAAGCTTCTTAGAGATCCCACAGACAGGGACATTCCTCATCCGTACTTGCAAAGTTGCTCAAACCAATTATGTTGTACGAGACGAATCAAGCTAAAAGCATCATAACGGTCACCCTGACCTAGCCAGTACACGAAGCCGCCTTCATCTACTGCAGACAACTTCAAACCTGATTCCCTAAGTGAATTCAGAAAATTCAGAGTCGCCATTTGACCAGCACGCGCAAGTGCATCCCCAGTGGAGTTAATCAAGAACATCCCCAGTGGAGCTAAATTGGGGCATCCGCAGAGCTAAACCGGGGCATTCGCAAAGCTTAATCGGGGCATTTAGAGAGCTAAACTGGGGCATTCATAAGTGTACATGCCTATCTCTTATCCCCAAGCGATTCAAGAAACAATTCCCCAGTGTGCGTAAACTTAGGACATGTATTCAGAGAGATTCACATGGTGTTCAGTATCCATTCTTCAGCATATTCAGTTCTATCATCCCCTCAACAGTTCAGAATGTATGGAGGTTTGGTAATATTATCTCTTCCTCAAACGGTACGATTCAGAATCCAACAGCGTACCTAAAGACTCGCTTCGTCAGCAATTCAATCCTCAGCAGAGTCAACAACGATCTTTGATCTTCAAGAGCTCCCTAGGGAAAATTTTTGTCAGTATCCCTAACAACCTTTGATACTGCAGGCATTCCAACATCGATATATATTGACATCCCCAATGATGAGCAATGGTTCCCAGCAAGCCTACTCTTATCCCCATGAAGTTTATTTCTTCGCATTGCATATAGTTATCACTGCATAACATTTCATCCTCAAAAGCGCGTAGCCGATCCATCAGAATGGATCTTTGCGGCAAAAGAAATTCAAACATGCATACAAAGCATAAGCCAGATCAGGTACCTTACATGAAAGACCTGAATTATTCAAGGAAAACAATACATCCCTACAGGAGGGTATCATGTCCAAAATCCCTAGTCAATGACCTTCACCTTTTCAATACCAAACAAAATCAATACACTTTGTCATTCTGAACCCAGTTCTTGTCTGGTAGTCAGTTTCCTAAACACTCGTATGTGTCAAGTTTCCTAAACACCCACCCGGGTCAGTTATTCAAACACTCGTCCGTGTTTAAACTTTTGATACTCACATGTATCTTCTTTCAATACTCATCTGTATTGATTCAAACACTCGTCCGTGTGTACCTTTTGATACTCGTCCATATCTTCTTTCAATACTCGTCTGTGTTGATTCAAACACTCGTCAGTGTTTAGCCTTGGATACTCGTCTGTATCTTCTTTCAATACTCATCTGTATTAAATCACTCGTCCGTGTTTAGCCTTGGATACTCGTCCGTATCTTCTTTCAATACTCGTCTGTATTGAATCAAACACTCGTCCGTGTTTAATCTCTTGATACTCGTCCGTATCTTCTTTCAATACTCGTCCGTATTGATTCAAACACTCGTCCGTGTTTAACCTTTTGATACTCGTCCGTATCTTCTTTCAATACTCGTCTGTATTGATTCAAACACTCGTCCGTGTTTAATATTTGATACTCGTCCGTATCTTCTTTCAATACTCGTTCGTATTGATTCAAACACTCGTCAGTGTTTAACCTTTGATACTCGTCTGTATCTTCTTTCAATACTCGTCCGTATTGATTCAAACACTCGTCCGTGTTTAACCTTTCTTGATGCTCGTCCATGTCACTTACCTAAACAATCATCATGTCGTAACCCATGTTTCATTCTTCGAACATGAGATCGCCTCTGGGCTAGGTTCTTTCCATATATTTTGCCTTAGAACCTGAGATCGCCCTTAGGCTAAGTTCTCTGTCAAATTACTCATTGTTTCACCTTAGGATCGTAGGTCGCCCGTAGACCTCGTCCGCTGTCTTTTCATACCAACCATTTGTCTTGTATTGGCATCGCTCCACGTTACAAGTCCAATCTCTGTCTCTTCATTGAAAAAACAAATTTCTTTCCCCCAACAGATATCACAAAATAAATAAATAAAGAAAACACTTATACTTCCTCCCAGGACAAATTTTCGGCATTGGTATTTAATCATCTTCCACCTTGAACTTCCGAAAGGCATGCGCCAATCGTACTTTCAGGTTTAAGACGATTAAATAGGGGCAACTGTAATACCCCAAATTTATCCTACCCTTCTACTTTTATCGGGTTTATGCATTGTGGCGCTTTTCTCATGTACATAACTTTATTAGGTCATTTAACATTGCATACATTCGCTAACAACATAATTTGGCATGGAATAAGTGATATGATGGAATTAGGGTTTCTATGGCTTTGATGGTCCTCATCTTCACTCAGGCTTGAATCAGTTGGTTTCTCAGTAACTGTGGTTTATGGAACTAGGGTTTGGATTCTTAATTATTGTGAACTTCTCCCCCATCAAGCTATAAGGCTGTCATCCTCGTAAAGTGCAGCAGCACTAGGGTTTCACTAAAGGTTTAAGTAAAGACTATGTGAACTAAGGTCTAAGTTCAAAGTCATCTTGAATATCTTCTTCAGGGGTCCAAGACGTCGTTATTCTAGTGCTCATATAGTCGGGACATGGTACAAGATGTGGATTGTAATCAAGGCGTCACTCTTTCAAATTTATTATTGCTTGACACGCAAATTTGGTTTAGATCGGAAAATTGAATTGAATTAGGGATTCACTGAAGCTGTAGTTTGATTAGAATTCATTCATTAATATTTGAAGTGGATTTGGAGAAAATCAAAGTTCTTAAATATTTGCGTGGCTTTTCTTGGAATTCAAATCACAAGTATGAAAAGGCATGCATCGAATTCATCCAACCATCAAAATATCGTCCAAATAGCCTCTCATGGATTCATTAAAGATTCACGTCTCTTTTGATAACCTTGCAAATATTTTGGATTTATATCATGAGTATTTGAATCCATACAAAGGCATTTAAAGGAAATATTGGAGGAAAATAAAATGGAATATCAAAATATAATTTGAAAGAAAGAAGCACTTTGAATATTCGGGAGAATACTTCATATGAATTCAAGGAGCTATAAGATCATTTAACACTTGATTCAAGAGAGCTTTCCTATTTACTAAATGAAATATCAAATTACACCCCCTTTCAATTACATTACATGATCAAGAATTTACACTAAATCTTCAAGTGGCCTAAAGCTAAAGAATCCTAAATCGAGGTCTCCATCATTCATCTCTAAGCTTATTCATCTTCAAGTCATTATCTTTCAAGATTGCTTTATTCCAACTTGGTTATATCCGAGCCTTAGTCCATGCTTCATGCCAAAAGAAAACCTGCATAAACGACCATTTTCCAAGCAAGTTCAGGGCCAATGTATAATCAAGTTAATTCAATTTGAAGTACAAAAATCAGCAATTACACCAAGTGTTATGTACTTAAATCAAACCATTTTATCACATTCATAACACATACACTACCCTCTTAACCAATTCCATAACAGCCCCTTTACTATCCTAACCGAATTCTAGCTTTTTTTTAAAACTACTTTCCAACCTCTAATCACTAATAGAACTTAACCTAACTGTTTAACCGAAACCATAACAGAAACTGCATTAGCAAAAGCCCATAACAGATTTACAAACAACAAAACCATTTCCTAACTACAACTAACTGTCATAACAGAAATTTATTGCAACTACTTATCAAAAACCTCTAACTATCATAACAACCGAGATAACCAACTCTCATCTCACCATTGACCGACCAATTGAATCCTTCTAAATATATGGCCTAGATTCACTCTACTCTCAACTGATTCCTTCACTCAACTAACTCTAACAGAATCATAACAGAAGGAGAAGAGGGAGGATATAACAGAATTAGAACAGAAGGGAACGACATTTTTTGATCAAGAAGAGTAACAAAATAATTTCAACACTCACCTCTGAGATTCTCTCTTCCACGCTCGAGTTCTCATCTCTAATCTTGATCTCCATCAATCACCTTCAATCTCAATTCATTTTCTTCTTCATCTCTGCAATTCCTATTCTTCATCTACAATTATCACCTTCACTTTTCACTGCTACTTATTCATCAAATTCGATTTCACATCGCCATAACCAAATCTTCACGCATATCTGCAAATTCACAACAACAACATTATCACCAGTTCTCACTTCTCTGCAACGCACATCAATAACCGCATGCAAGATCAACAACCGAAAACACAGAGAACATAATCTAAGAAAAAGAAATCAGCAAAGAAGAAGAGCATAATCGTACCTGAGTTGTTTCCGATTCTTCCATTAGAGCCGTCGTCCGAGCGTCTCTGATAGGTAAATCACTCTTCCTATGTTTTTGATGTTTTCTCCATTGATCTTGCTGGCATAATGTGAATCTCGTTTGTGCGAATGAAATCCGAAATCCGAAATTCGTTGAGCGGTCTTTCGCAGAGACGAAGCCGTGTCGTTGAAGTTGAATCGGAGATGAGGTCGAGGTGCAGATCATGCCATTGAGAGAACGTAAGGTTATGAAAAATCGAACGAAGATGTCATGGCGACGTTGAGGGTTAAATCTAGTGGTGGTTGTAATGGACGAAGAAGGTTGAGGATCCACGACGGCAGAAGAGGTGGAGGGTTCGGCACCGACCGGTGAAAGGGAAGAAGAAGAAATCTTACGTGGACTTGGACCGTCACCCCCTTTTAACCCTAATCTCTTTCCTTTTTTACTATTAATTTGTATAACTCTTGTTTTTTTTAATTCAATAATAAAAACACGGACTGAATTTGAGGTTGTTGGGCTGTCCTTAAGCCTGATTTTATTTTTTATGCTGGATGAATGAAAAAAACTCGCTGGACCTGGACCGAGTCACTCACAAAAAAAAAACTCTTCTTAGACTCAATATGGACGGGCCTAGTGTCTGGACCCTCTGGTCACACCCCTGGATTTGATCCTTACACCACCTTGTTCTTTGTAATTTTCACTTTAATTCCTTAATTTTTGCAATTAATTATTGATGATTCATTCATGATTTTTTGCTGAAATTTGGTGTGGATATTGATATGTTGATTCCTGACTTGTTGATATTTTTTAATAATTTTTTCTATTAGCATATGAATTAATTGAATTAGTGTTTAGTACATGATTAGAATTAAGATTTTAACGCATTCTTGTCGATTTTGTATACTTGATTCAATTTCCTTGGCATGATGGGTGGTTTAGAGGTAGGCTCTGATCCTTGAATAATGCCATGTTATTTTTGACGTATTTGTTCATTATGCAGGGTACGTTCTTTTTGCTTTCAATTATGTAACATAACAAGTAGTTAGGCGATCAAAGGATACGACTTATGCTCGCTCCTGATGCAACACGCTTTATTTCTCATCGTCCTGAGAAATTCATATCATATTATATGTTATCCTGATACATGTGATACTTTGTGATACTTTACATAGGAACTTCTAATCATGCGTTGCATTCGCAACACGCGTTAGCCTTTATCTTAGTTGGATAGTGCTTCTGACTCTATTTGTTTCTTGGTGAAGCTTGCTCGACGCGTACTCCCTGCTTTTTCAGCGCTTTCGTCTGCTCTTGACGACTTGCTCACTTTGGTAGTCTCCGCTACTACCCTTGTACTTTTTCGCACTTTATTGCTTCCTAGATATCATGAGAAGTAGGAAATAAAGAGCGTGCGCTCGAAGTCGCTGTTTAAAGACCTGTAGCAGGCATTCCGCACTTCATTTGCTATATGTGTTGTGCTTGTGTTTGTTTACTTTCTTGTTGATCGATGAGTCACTCAATTTAGCAATTGAGATCACGACTTTGCTCTCAATGCATGCTCCCTATAGGATTTTATCGCTTCCCATTCTTTCTTGTTAATCGATGAGTCACTCAATTTAGAAATTGAGATCACAACTTTGCTCTCATTGCATGTTCCCTATAGGATAGTTTTGTTAGAATTTCTTTGGCATGCTAACCTAGGCAGGATCTCTTTAGGTGCTCTCTTGAGCTTATTAGCTCGTTTACTTTATCCTTGTACATACCATGTTCCCTTAGGATGCGCTTGCTCCGTTCTGATACAAGTTAGACCTTAGATTGCAAACCATGCATGCTGACATTAGGTAGAAACTTCCCCTTTCATCCTTGACGTAGGACTACCATTGTATGATAACATTAGGTTTAGAAATAGACTAGTCTCCCTTAGACTCTTTTCTTCCCTTTTGCATGTGCATTCAAAACAAAAACTTCTCTTATTAGCAAATCAAAAACATGTTAATCATAGTTAAACCCTTTTTCAAGGTAATAAAAATATAAACCAATTCAAATCATTTTGTGCACTCGAGCACCCTTTTGTCTAAAACCCTTTTCAGGTAAGGACATGATTAGTTTACTTCTATGCCAACGCATAAGTCTCCAAAGGTCGAGCTGCGGCAGAAGGCGGAATTAACATTGTCCATAAAAAACACAAAACAAACAAAAACATATGAGCCGAACTACAGTAGCTCTGATTCCTCAAAAAGGATACGTAGGCATTGGGGTAGGGCCCGGGCGAGCACAATTTTATTTTCCCTACATTTTTTTCCCTTTTCGTTTGCATGCATTTTTTCCTTCAGTAGTATAGTAAACAGTAAGCATAGATTAAACACACTCATAAGATAGATAACAAGAGTGGATACCGTAGAGTACTACGGGCGTGTGGGGTGCTAATATCTTCCCCTCGCGTAACCGATTCCCTTACCCGATCTCTCGGTCGCAAGACCGTGACTTCTCCCTTCTCAGGTTTTCTCGATGTTTACCTTTCCCTAAATGTGAGATAAAAGACGTTCGATGGCGACTTCATTGTTTTAATGATTTTCAGCCGGTTGTTTCAATGGGTAACACTCATGAGATTTTTTGGATCTTTGTCTTTCAAAGCATCAACTATGTACCTTGGAGCTATATTTTACTTCGCCGTGTCATTCACAAACTGTCTTTCATGATCTTTTAGACGTCACAATATGTCATGACCTTCTAAATTCTTAAATAGTTTATGATTGTGCATCCGACACCTAACAAACACTTTCCAACCGATACCACTTGACACAAATCTTAGTCTAAAAGGACATTTAACTTCCATACTATAATTGCATTCTGAAAAATTATTGCTTTCAGATGTATTCTTCCTTTTGTAATTTCCTCTTCTCTCAGAATCCATAATCAATTTATATTTCCTCTATCATTTTCCATTAGTAGAATTCAAACGAACAGTGACAACGATAATACCATGCCGTTTATCAATAGTCTGTGGCTATGCTAAACCTTTAGACCGGAACTTAAATATATATCAATTACAATATATAAAGAATAAACTATCAATATCATAGAGACAAGAAAATCTTTAAATTTTAAAATTGTTATATAGAAAACATACAATGTGACTGGTGAACAACTACTTAAAATCTGTACAGAGATCCGTAGAAGATGTTGTTTGTTCTAGACCACACAAGTAAAACATTTTTCTGTACTATCGAAAAATCTGTATATATATGCAAAATTACTAGTAAATCGAAAATTTCAAAATTTTCGAAAGTTTTAGTTACTCATCCAAAACTTTGATAGTTTCTCGTAACTTTTTTTTGTTTTTACAGATAAATATCAATATTTTCAGAATTTATGATAATTCTTCATAGGTAGTTTCGTTTTCCCGCTACTATTTTCGATAAAAACACAAATTTAACTGAAAAATACAAAAATCTTGTATCAGAAATTTTGTTTTCACTACCAAAAATTTTGTTTTTACTTCCTTTATCACAGTGAATATCTTTTAATGATTGTGAATTTTTTTAAAGATAAATAACAACAAAGATATTTTTGTCATTAAAAAAATATAAGAGTGACAAATTAAATTCTCTAAAATCCATCCATTGCTATAGAGAGAAAACCCTCACTATTATCAACCCCTGGATAAAATTCTAATCACAAGATTATCCCATAGAAAATAAACTCAAAAAAACTTGATGAGATAAACTCCTTAATTTTATTTATTCTTCTTAATCCTATTACTCAACCGGAGACGTCAAGACTCCTTAACAAGTTTCACCAGTAATTTTGACCTCCGAAAACACTAACTTATTTCATCATTTAATTCAAAGACCCATCATAATTTTTGGTTTAAACCAAAAATATATTATATTTGGAAACATCAAATACATATTCAAACCTATTAATTTATTTTACAATTTATTTAGAGTTCGAAACTTTTACCAAAATAATAATATAAGAGATTTAAAAATAACTTTAAAGTTGCATGATACATTGATAATTGTTGTTATATTTTTGTTCTATTTTTTTTTTATAGAATGATATAGAGTTTGAGTTAAATAACAAATAGAAAAATTTAGATAAAATCATCAATTGTCTCATACTTGATATAAAAATCACATCTCAACTATATTTCAAAAAATTTGGATATATAATTTTTACACAAAAGTTATCCTTCTTTTTTTAGTAAAACATTTAAAAAAAAACATAATTTGGCATAACTTTTTATTTTAATAAGAATTCATTCAAAAAATAAGTCATGCCAAATTTTGTCTCTAATCCTAATTGAGGTGACTTTTTTTTGTTATCTCAGTGATTATATAATTTTTGCATAAATTATCTCATTGTTGGATTACCAATCACATCATAAACCCACACACAAGTAAACATGTACATATATATTCTTCTGTTTCAAACCATTCAAAAATATTGATGTCCAAATTTTGAGTCTCCAATGTTAATTAGATAAACCAATGTAGAAAAAAGCTCTAAGGTTTTGGCCATAAAAGGCCTTTCACTACTCTCAGAAATATACTCACAAACTAATCAACTCAACATTCATAAAATAAAATTAAAAAAACAAACCCTTTTGCCATGGCTTCCTATAGTTCCTTCATATTGGCAATTTTCATTGCTATTTCCATCTCAAACATGAACATTTGCCTAGCAACTCGTCATCTTCTACAAACAACAAATCCAACTACACCAACACTTCCAAAACCAACATTGCCACCTTTGCCAACAATCCCAACATTACCTCAACCAAATGTTCCATCTTTGCCAACAATCCCAAAACCTACTCAACCATCAACTACAATCCCAACCATTCCAACTATTCCACAGTTCACTCTTCCACCACTTCCTAACATTCCTTCTACAATCCCAATCACTATGCCTACATTCCCTTTCTTTTCTCCACCACCTTCAAAAATCTCCCCTTGAATGAACTTCATGTCAGGTGTTTTTATAGATATATTTACTATACTATACATGTCAAGTGTGTGTCTGTAATCTTCTTCGTTCTTAACTTTTCTTCACACCATGGGATGTTATTCCCTTTATTCATTACTTTATGTATTTTAGTAACTATTGTTATAGGGTCACACTTTATAATAAATAAATTATTGATAAACAATTTAGCCACCCGTTTAAACTTTACTAAATTCAATTAACTAATTTCAAGTTAAAGCACGCATGCAATGTCTCCAAAATAGATGGACTAACATAGTGACCAAAATTGATGGATCATTATAAGTGTGGCTGCTGGGATTCGAGCCCAGGTCTCCACGGCCACAACGTGGAATTCTTACCACTAAACTACAGCCACTTCTGGTGGTTGCTTATGAAATGTGTAATAAATAATATATAAACTATTGTGCGCAGACAGTAATAGAAAAGTGAGGATATACTTAATTAATTGACGATTATAAAAGCATGAGCATATACTTATCATTCGGTTAAATATTCATAATTATAGTTAGAATAGTAAAGTAATTGAAAGACTAAGTTATAACTATAATATATTATTAAAAATTATTTAAGATCTAACAGAATGTATACTATTGATTTACTTCAAAAGTTTAATATTGAATGTAAATTAGCATATTGAAAATTTCACATATATAATGATTAAAACAAAATTTCGCACCAACAAGGTTCAGCAAGACAAAATCATACTTTATTTACAAAGAAAGAATAGGAGGATAAATTCTTATTGTGAATATGTGGATGACCTCATCTTTACAAGAAGAGTGAGAAAATTTTCAAAGAATTGAGATCTCATATGAGGATGCATGAGATATTTTTTTGGTGTGGAAGTGACAAAAGACTTCAAATGGCATTTTTATTTGTCAAAGGCAGTATGCTGACGAAGTACTAGAAAGGTTTGATTTACAAAATCTCTCATATGCTAATAATCCAATTGTTCCAGGGTGCAAGCTCACAAAGGATGCCAGAGAGTTGAAGGTTGATACTACCACATATAAGTAAAATATCTAGCTTAACAATATCTTATGTGTCAATCATCATTATCATATCATACTAACACAACATGGAAAATGAATACAAACGTGCACCATTAATGACACACGATGAACTTCTCCTAAGAAGCAAAATAAAAAGTTAAAAACAAACACAACTCAAGTTCCATATTGGTGTTTAATTGCCGAGCTTGTTTTCCTCAATGCTACAATCATAGAACTTCCATAACGTCTAAGGTAAACAAGTCTATAATGTAATTGTTCTTTAAAAGCACACTTTGATGGTTTATCTCTCAAAGAATTCAGCATCACCACAATTCCACCCATTTTTACAACTCGATCAACAAATTCAACATCACTATAATTTGATGTAAATACAAAATCATAAGACTCATCAAGGAACAAACTCTTTGTTTCATAATCACCACCCATGATGACCACATCAATGCCCTCAAATCCAAAGGCATTGGAAGGACTTACAATGAGAGCCTTATAATCCTTTTTGTAGATTCCTTTCTCACCCATATCATGAAGAATCCAATTCAATAGCTCAAAATTGTAAGAACCAAACGAGGTTTCAGTTTTGGAAACAACACATGAATGGGAACTCAATGTGAAAGAGAATCCATTAAGAATGTTTCCAAAGAAAGGCAATGCGACAAGAATCATAACCAAGAACAATGATCGAGACAAAATGTGTAAAACCTTAGTATCAGGAATCCTAATAACAATAGAATTATGAGGATTCAAAGCAATTCTTGTTCCACCGTGAAAATGCTTCTTCTTCATCTTGAACAGAGTGAGACCCTTTTGAGAAATACCGAGTACAGAGGCAAAGCGAGATTGAAATTGGTTCAATGGATCAAAACAAAGACGACCCAGATGAAGAAAAGTGAAGATCGACGAGGAGAAATGTAGAAAGATGGTCACTTTACTTTAGCGACAGCAAAATCTGGAAGCGGTGTGGTTTCCACCCACAAGAGCAACACGGTTGGTTCGGATTCTACACCATAAGAGCGTCAATAGTTTCATTCTTTGGATCTCCATTGTAGAACATGGAAGAAGAGATAGTGTTTGATTTATGTGAGTGAGATGAAGAGAGATGGTAGTTTATAGAGAGAAGCAGAGGAAGAAGATGAGTTGTGCATTGTCTTTTAGTGAGGGAGGTAGTATATACTATGTTTAGTTTAACACTTTGATGTCGTGTGAGTGTTGGATTGTTACCATTTCATTCAAGCTGCATCATCAGCTTGCATTTATGTTTATCCAAAAATAATAACTAACATTGTTGAGGTGGGGTTAAGCCAAGATATATATAATTGTCTCTCTCTCTCTCTCTCTTCTCTTGGTTTGAAAAATCAACTCATTACTATTTGATGATTTTTACATATTTAGAAGTATTAGAGTAGTTATTTGATTAGAGATTAACATAGTTAGGTTTACTCAGTTATATTTTGGACTAATTAAGTTATTTAGTTAGTTTGAATTAGTTATGGTAAGATGAGATTGACTAATATTAAGAGTGTGATTTCAAGATTGTAATTAGTCAATCAATAATGAATTAGAGGTATATAGTATTGACCTTTAATTTTCTTTGTTTCCGCACAATAATTGTTTTTCTTCTTCTATTGTAATTGTTAAATTGTTTCATCAATGACGCGTGACGATGAATCTTCTCCCTTCTTCTATTTCTAAGAAACATTCTTCCCGTGTTTTCAATTCTCCTTTCGAAAATTTGATATCCTATCATTTATTTGGTCTAAAGCTTTCTATCAAGCTTTAAGACAACAACAACTTACTTTGAAATCAACAAGTGAAAGTGTGATTCTTACACACAAACTTCGTAGATATGTTATTAATCTGAAAATTTCTCTGATGTTTAAAATTCAGGAAAATCAAATCAATAAGGCAATCTCTTATTGAAGGGTAATTTAGTATTTTAGTCTATTTTGTTAGCTTAGTTATTAAGTTTAGTTTGTTAGTTAACTTACTCTTTAAGTTTACCTTTTACTATGGCCTATGTGACAATTTATTTTGAGTATAAATATACTAAGTAGTAGCTGTCATTTGTAATAACCAATAACCCTAATAAATCTTCCTTTATCTTTTGTAGTTGTCATTCCTTTTTTCTTCTTCATCACCTTGTGCACTAACAATTGGTATCTAAAGTTCCGGTTCAGATTCACATAGAAACACGAGAAACACGAGTGAAACAGTGAGGCGTTGTGTGATTGATTTCGTAAACAGAATCGTAACATAATCACATTTTCTGATTCTGTGAAATTGAGAAACACTTTGTTTGGTGAGATCTGAGTGACTTGTACAAGGTTGAAGATGAATGGAAACAATAGTCTGAGCACCAAAATTCCAGTGTTCGATGACAAGAACTGAAATCCCTGAATAATTTAGATGCGCGTGTTGTTCAGTGCTCAAGATGTTCTTGAGCTTGTTATCGAAGGTTACATTTCGGTTGCAGCGGATGCGACGAAGGAATAAAGAAATATGCAGAGAGATACTAGGAAGGAATATCAGAAGATGTTGTTCTACATCTATCAACGTGTATATGTGAATGTGTTTGAGAAAATCATTGATTCGACGACGACGGAGACTACGTGAGATACACTGGTTATGTGTTATGGTGGTGACGCATTAGTGAAGAAGGTGAAGCTTCAGTTTATATGAAAGCAGTATGAGAATCTCAACATGAAGGAAAACGAGAATGTATTTGAGTACACCTCTAGAGCGATTCTGGTCACTAATGAGATGAAAGCTTGTGGAGAAACCCTTTCTGGAAAAATAATCATTGAGAAGGTATTGGGATCTCTTACCCCTCAATTTGATTACATTGTGGTAGCAATTGAGAATTCTAAAGATCTAGACACCATGAAAATAGAAGGGCTGCAAAGTAGTGTAGAGGCGCAAGAGGGAGGTTGAGCAAGCTCTGAAAGCTTCTTTTGTCAAGAAGGAACATAAGCATAAAAGACATGGTAGGTCTCAGAAGTCAGACACATTTGAAACAACCGGCTGAATAATCAACTGATAACGAAATCAATGAAGTCGTCATCAAACATTTTGTATCCCATTGGAAGGGAAAGGTAAACATCGAGTAAACCTGAGAAGGTTAAAATCACGATCAAACGACCGAGAGATCGGGTAAGGGAGTCTATTACGCGAGGGGAAGATATTAGCATCCCACACGCTCGTAGTACTCTATGGTATCAACTATTGTTGTTCTAATCAAAGGGTGTGTAAGAATCTATATCTAAGTTATACAGGGAATGCATGCAAAGAAAAGAGAAAATAATATAGGGAAGATAAAAGTTGTGCTCGTTCAGGCCCTACCCTAATGCATACGTATCCCTTTTAAGGAATTAGAGCAGTCGTAGTTCGGCTTCAAAAGTTTTTGTTGGTTTATATTTTTAATGAACATTATTAATTTCGCCTCTTACTGCAGCTCTACCTTTGGAGACTCACGCATCAGCACATAAGTGAATTAACATGCTCTTTTGAAAAGAGTTTCGAAAGAAAAGCCCAAAGACAAAAGAGTTTGTGTTTGTTGGTGTTTTTGTTGTGGATAACAACTAATTGGCCTCAAGAGAGAGATTTTAGCCACTTCTCCACTTATTTATGAAATAAGTATTTGATACTTGAACCATACCAAGACTTAGAATGGAAGAACAATAAGATCAAGAAGAGACCCACTTATCATTTCCCATGCTCAACAAAGGTAAGATTCTCATCAGTAATCTTTGAGTGTTTTGAAGTTTGCTAGAAAAAGAAGTATTTGTTTTAATGCAAATGCAAAAGGGGAAAGAAAAGTCTAATGGGAGACTAACTTAAATCTATCTATGATGTTATCATACAATGATTGATCCTAAAGTTATGTTTTGAAGGGAAATCTCTACCCTGTGTTGACATGCATGGATAACAATTCTAATGTCTATCTCAACTCATCGTCTATAGATGAATCAAGAAGTCCTAAAGGAGCATAGCAAGAGTTTATCACCTAAAACTATGTCTATCTCGAATCATCATCTATAGTTGAATCGAGAGCTCCTAAGGGAATATGTCGAGGATATATCATCTCAAAATATGCACATAAAGACGAAATCAAGCAAGCAAGCCAATAAGTTCAAGAGAGCACGCACATAAAATGGTAAGAAAAAGAATCGAAATGCTTTAGCCAAGGGGAGTGTATCACCCGATACAAACAAGCTGGAGTATGATGAAAAAGCAAAATGTGATGTCCAAAGTGACTGAACACCTAACCAAGATATAGATGATCGAGGTAGACGACAGAAGGCAATATAGATAATCACGGAGTATCAGCATCGACCAATGCAAACTCCTGACAAAATATAGGGGTTCGATTGCGGAACCCTTCCCAACTTGACGACTCGATACACAAGAGCAGACACAACTCTGAAGCTTCGTGGTGCATCACGAGCTAAGGATGACACGGACTAGAATGTGAGGGGGTCAGTTACGGACCCTACCCGCTTTCCTCCTCTTGAGGACTTGTCAAACTGTAATATAATGCGGGCGCAAATGAAAACATACGTGCGGAGTACCTACTTCAAAGGTAGGATTTTAAACAAACACAAATAGCATACAGAAAGTGGTGCCTGCTACAGGACTTTAAACAGCGACTTCGAGCACACGCTCTTTATTGCCTACTTCCTACTTCACATGATCTCTAGAAAGCGATAAATGCCTAGTATACATGATCTCTAGAAAGCGATAAAATGTTGAAATGAGAAACCGGAGAAAATACCAAACGAACTAAAGTTCGTAGCATGGAAAGCAAAACAGAGAAACCCAGAAAACTTCAAGTAAGCTTTACCAATCAATAGAGAAGAGTCAGAAATCCAATATTTGGAATAAGCGTTAAAGCCTCATCAATGTGAAAATAAATCACAAGAAGAAGGTGCACCAAGTATATCCGAATATCGTATAATAAACCTGCATACGTCTCAAATCTCAACAAGAAAAGGTGAATAACAAATCTCGAGTAACAAAATGATTTCTAACACAGTCGATAATAGAAAATTTTTAACAAACTTATACAAAAGAAATTCTAGAAAAAATTCTATTATATTCCACTATCCTTTATTGTTTTTATTATGGAAAAAACCTATCAAAAATTAGAGAATTAATTCTTAATCCCTAAAAACACTAACAAGTCAGATTGATTTTATAAATTTTTTTATCAACAATCCATAACAAACAAATAAGAAAAAATTTAATGGAAATCTAAAAAGAAATTTAAACTCAAAGGGGGTGTTAAGTTGAATCAGGTGTATGTGGTGCATAAAATGGTGCTAAGCCCGACAAGAATGGGCCCAATCATGACTTTTGTCCACAAGTTTGATGATGTACAAAAAAAACATGGATCAAAGCAATGAGTTTGTGGATCGGTCCAGCCCAGCAGTTTATCACCAATTCCACAATCCAACCTACAAAGCTTGACCAAGCTTTATATTATTGAACTAAATTAAAAAACAAATTAATCACAAAAATGTAAATGATAAACATTGAGAAAGGTATTAGGGTTACAATGTGACGTATTGTTGGAAATCTACCAAATTCTATGATGAATTTCTACCACAATGACAATTTAATTATGAGACAAACAAAGAAAAGAAGACAAGACAAATATTTCTGCAGAGTTTCTCTCTGCCCACAAACTGTGGAAAACTTTCTTAATCACTTGCAACTGCAAATTCGGTGATTACAATGAATTGACTTACTTGACTTGCTTTTAAAAACAGGGGTTACTCCCTCTATTT